TTCTGCTATTATTTTTACGATCGACATCATTCATTTATCACATTTGTCCTGTCACACCGATCGAGGAGTGTCAAAAAAATTGCTGGAGTTAAAATTATTGCTATAAGTAAAACGAAAATAGTGTATAGGTCATAATCTAATTAGTAGTACAAAGTTTGTTCAATCAAAATGGTTTGAATAGTGAGTCATAATCCAACTCACCTAACTTCAAAAAAAAAAAAAATCCATTTCTTATCTTTCCTAACTTATGTAAGTACACTATTGTGTAGCTCCATAATTGAACAGAAACCTTAAGACTCTGATATGGACTATATATATCGCCTTTTCAAATTTTATTTTAATATTTAAATTTTCTTACAGTGGTTTAATTTGGAGAAGTAGTTTTAATTCAAGCTGACACAATCCTTTAAATGAGTTGACTTGAAGTTTTGAAACACCTACGCTACTTTAGTGCTTGAATAAATTTGGGTCAACGATCTCGTTAAGCTTTGCTGGTTTACTTTGATTTGAGGCCGGCTTTACCCGGGGAGATTCGAATTGTGGGCAACCACATATGTTAATTACTATCTTTTATCTAAATTTCTTGAGCTTGTTTATGTTTGATTCAAAAGATATTGGAACCTTTTTGAACAAATCAATCAAAGAGAATGAAGGGGTAAATCTTAGTAAGTATAATGAATTCTAGAACCAAAGGTATAAACGATAAAAACAATGGGAAATATTTGTTGACTTTAAGAAAGTCAGTGATTACACATTGAGAATGCCAATCTTTTCTCTCGAAAAAGGAGTTACAATTAGGATTCTTAGCTGAAAAGGAGTCCCCCCCCCCCCCCCCCAAAAAAAAGAATTCTCTCAACAAAGTGTTTTTCCCACTATATATAAGGGGCAACCCCCTTCTGAATCCTAGAAAATATACCATAGGGAATATTCGCGAGTATATTTCTAATGCCCCTATGGGGCCTACACTAATGCAAAAGCCATACGTCCTCTGTTTGTTGTCTGTCGCCCTTCGCAGGGCGTCGAGCGTCCTCTGTTTGTTGTCTGTCGCCCTTTGCAGGGCGTCGAGCTATGAAGACCTCATCTTCTGTCGTTTTTTTCGATGGTTGTGGTCGTCCAAATTTGAACCCATACAGTTTAGATTCCTGGGCCGTAGATCTTTCGAATTTCGAAACAAATTGACCTTTGCTTCATTAACTTACGGCAGATTATAATGTGCAAAGGAAACACTTAGCGCCTGGTATCTTCTTTCATAATGTCTTGTTTAAACTTTAAACCACCTAGCATCAAACACTTCTTCGAATTTCAGCAAGCTTCAACTTCCAACATCCAAGCGTCAAGAAGGTATAGTCTAAAATTTTCAAAGCTAGGCTAAATAGAGACCTTTCCTTATTTATTTATTTGAGAAATTAATTCCAAAAATCAGCTTAATGGTTTTCGCGTATTGCTAAGACAAGTACGTAAACATGTGTTTCATAATGACTAAGCCAACTTTGGTTGGTTAATCGGATCAGTTCATCTATGGTTGGCAAATATGATCGTTTTCCTCCTTGCTAGTACTACAGCAAACACTGGAGAATCAAGAACCCAAATGACACAAATAAAAAACAATAGAACACATCAAATTGATTGATCACATGTTTGATGATCCTTTCATTACACTTTCAGGATTGTCTGAATAACTCAACAATAAGAGATGACACAGAAGTTCAAAGAATAAAAGCTAGAGGAGTAGAAGGAAAGCAAAAGAAAAGCGAACTGCGTTGCAGGAGAGACAGCCTATACTGAGTCCAAAGCCTGAAGAATATCAGCTTTCAAGTCATCAAAATCTTCCACACCAAAGCTGAACCTAACCAAATTGTCCATGATGCCATACTTGGCTCTATCTGACTGGCTAAGATCCCTGTTTTTCATGTGAAAGAGCACGTTATACACATTTTATGAAAGTCTCATATTGAAGGACTGTTTGCTGTAATATAACTACTCTGTTTTGGTTCTACTTTAGCTTGCTTTCCCCGGTATATCGAATACTACATGGCAGGTAAGATAAAACACCCTAATTATCACATGATGGACCTTTAGGTGTATCAATTCTTGAATGTCACTAATTCCAAAGTCTCACTAAACATATTCAAGAACAGTACCAGGAAAGGGAAAATGCAACACAGACAACCACAGAATAAAATATCAACATACCAGTAAGACATTATTGCTGGTTGGTCCACAATGCTCTCACAACCTCCAAATGACGGAGCAATATACGGAATTTTTAGAGCATCCACAAATTTTGCGGTAGTCAGCAGGTCTCCGTCAACCTAATTATTAATAGACTTTATCATGAACAATCCAGAATACAGGACTTGAGAAGAACATGGTTGCCATCTAAAGGTAATAGATTAGTAGGATACAGACCTCAAAACTGACCACACCACCAAAACCTGTCATTTGTTTCTTTGCAATGTGATGTTCTGGATGACTTTGCAGGCCTGGATAATAGACATGTCTCACCTGCAATTCATTTTCCTTAGATATGATAGAAGTTGCAACAGCAAAAAAGATCACAATGTGATAGAAAATTCAAGGCTAATGAATTCTATTTAACTACAAGAAGAAAAGCAAGAAGCATAGTGCATCATTGTTTCTGTAATCCAAAAAACCAGCAAACAGTATAGTAGATATTCATTACCAGATGTCTAAGGATGGATAATGAATATAAGAAGAATAAAAGATATCCAATTTGTAGCCAAGCAGAAATCTGAGAACAGTATAGGAGCAGGAAGGGAGAGATTCAATGACCAACCACTGACCAGCACTATCTGTATACTTTTTTATCTTCCCCTTTTCTTTCGCGTATCAACTTTTTTCTTTATGACTGTGGTGTTCGGACCAGCTTAAGCACTCGTCTACTGTTCCACTGGGTGCACATATTTTTTTTTTTTTTTAGGGAAAGGATAATAAATCTTGCTAAAGTTGCAAAAATGGATGCAACATTTTAAATTTATTTATCAAAGAATCAAAAGAATAATAGTAACATCTTTCTGACCCAACAAGGACGCGACATCTTTATCCATATTAACCAAAGAATTAAAGAAAGAACACAGTATAGTTACATCTTTCTGACGTCAGAAGCACATTCTCAAGGTGCATAAGAAGGGTCAGAAAGAACTGTCCAGCTTATATGGCCTAGAGAAAATTAATCACTACATGGGAGAAAACAAGAGACTGTTGCCTTGTTGCTTCCATGTCTTGATTATTTTCCGCATGCTTTAACGTCTAAACCAGTAGAAATTACCAATATCTAGACCATGCTGCAGGTAATAGGCTTACCATAAGCCTTTTCAATTATAACACAGTAAGCTGAACCTCTTCATTTCTCTAGTAAATACAGAAACTCCATACAATTAGTTTGGCTACTGCTTTGCCTCAGATGTGATTTGTAATCATGCCAGTAAAAATTATTGCAAGCTGAAACTACCTTGGGATGAGCCTCTAAAATCTCGGCCATCCTCAATGCAGTTGAGTTTTGTTGCTGTACACGAAGATGCAGCGTCTTCATGCCTCGGATAATTAGATATGCGGCATTCTGATACATGCAAGGATTAAATTAGATTTGACAAATACAAGCTCAAACTACAAAACAAATGTCTCCAAAATCAGCCCAAATTCCATGATTTTTTAAGAGTCCATCTTACTTTTAAAAGAAAAAGTATTCACTTCACCAAAATTGAGCTATCATAATGCATAGAACTCGAGAAAACATAGTCAAGCAAAACATCAAAGACAACTAACCGGATTGAGAGCACCACCCAGGATGTGATGCAGGTTACGTATTTCTGAAACTAACTTTACAGGACCACTAATGCAACCTGCGAGAACCTGCATAAATAAAATAGCCTGTCAGTTCGATTACCTTTAGTAGGAGCATAATTGTTTGAATTGCCAATACACCAGTTATGGTTACCATACATCATTATGCCCACCAAGGAATTTTGTTGCAGAGTGCAGAACGAGGTCAGCCCCAAGGGCAAGGGCCTTTTGATTAAGAGGAGTTGCAAAAGTCCCATCTATGCAAACCAAGGCTCCTTTTTCATGACAAAGCTTTGAAACCAGCTCAATGTCTACACATCTGAGGAATGGATTTGTTGGAGACTCGGTAAAGAAAAGATTCACCTGCATGGAACAAAGTAGAGAGTTGAGAAGTCTCTTCATTATTCTGTCATTATTAGTTCAAAACATATAAACTAACAGTAGCAAACTGACTTTCTTCTGATTTAGAGCCAACTCCAGAGCTCCGACATCGGCTGGGTCAATGACCGTGGCCTGTGAAATGAATAAAGGAATGAGAAGTTATAACAACTAAGAAAACACCTTGGTATCATTTTATTTCCTTTGACTGAATAACAAACAAGAAAAGCTCTAGCCAGAAGAAATTATCAATGCGTTTTATCACCATCAAAATCAAAATTCATTATCATTCACTTTCATTAACAGAGCAAACCCGTAATATCTTGAGATATGCAAACTAGAAACATCAGCTATCTGAAAAACTAGGATTGGTGCAGTTACCGTAATCCCCATTTTAGGAAGTATAGTTTCAATAAAGATCCGGGTCTTCCTATAGCAGTCTGTGGTTGTAATAATATGGCCTCCAGCAGGAACCAACGCCAACAGCATTACAGTACTGGCGCACATTCCAGATGCCATTAACAAGGTTGATTCAGCACCCTCCAGTGCGCTGTTGCAAAAACAAATAAGTAACACATTATCTCATAAGCACCTACCACAAAACACAAGTGGAGAAACAAAAAAGAATATACAGAAAAACATCATAACCAAAAACCAAACTCGCCTTATCTTCTCCTCTAAAACAACAGTAGTTGGATTCCCATAGCGCCCATATTCAAAACTTGCACGTCTTTTCTCCTGACAAGTTATATCAGAGAAATCAAAAACAACAATATAGATAAACCTAAAGGAAGTACTTTGCATGCTCTTTCCAATTCAGTGAAACTATACAAGCACCATATGATAATCCATCGAGACAACGGATGGGCAAATCACCTAGCTTCCCCTAATATTGTTATGTATTAGCCTTTGAGTTAGGATCTTCAGCATATCTACATTGTAGCTCATACACCATAAGAAAGCACTTACTCAATGGCCATATCCAAATGTAACAATAGCAAATACCTTAAAATCAATGAGCTCAGAAGTCTTGTTGAAGAAATAAGCAGATGTGTTAACTACTGGGGTAGTAATTGCATCCGTAACAATGCCACGTCCCAACCTTTCACCTGAAAGAAAAACAAATGAGGCCTCGGAATTCACTCAGCAATATATAAACATTCATAAGAAATCAAAATTTCAGAAAATTGACTAGCTAAAGGTGGCAGGTTAGGAAATATACCGGCATGAATAGCGACACTCCCATCAGAATTCAAAAACGAAGCGTATTTCACACTTGGCAAACTGTCAAACTGTACATTTTGATCATTACAAGTCTCATTTTCCACCAGCGCCATGTCCTCGTTAACTACCGAGGTATCAACAGGAGCAATGGCGGCGGCATCGACGGCCTTAGCCACCGGAGTGAAATCAGGAGAAGAGTTATTGTTAGACCACGAAGCCGCCACAACTTGAGCCACACCGATGTTGCTGCAGTTCCTCCGAGCCTTAATGCTCAACTGCCTAACAAAGTTCGGAGGAAACCTATAAATAAGAGAAGACAGACCGTGAATGGACGATCCGTGACTCAAAATGCTGGCCTTGCCGGAGTTAGGAATGTCGTGGCGGGGAATACCGCCAGAGAATTCGGCATCCGAACGACATTCAAAGGATGGAAAAGCCCTAGCACAGCTTGAGACCGCCATAGGGTTCCGATGATTTGACGGCGAAGGCCTGCAATCTCTGGAAAAAAAATGAAAATGAAACAGAGAAGACGGAAATTTTAGTTCAAAGAATTTGCGTCCTCTGAACTTATGATAAAAGGAATCTGTGAACACGCGGGTTAGGTTTGTCGTCTTCTGCAAGCTGGTCCACAACTTTAGAATTGAACCATGGTTAATGTTCACCTCTGGTTGGGTTCTTGTGGTTAACAGAAGTTCGGATTTTGTTGCCTACGTGGACACACATCAGTATAGATAGACTGACGTCAACCCTGAGCTTGGTCCAATACGGGGAGCATGTAGGTATTGTACTGTGTGCTTTTGGTACTTGTACTTCTTTTAGCATTCAACTTAAGGTCTTTTCTTTTCTTTTCTTTTCTTTTCTTTTCAACTTTTGAAGAAAATATAAGAAATTTTCAATTGTGATTAAGATGCAACGATGTGACTTATAAGTTACATGTTCAAGCCGTTGAATCAGCATTAATATTTACATTAGGATAAGTTGTCGTCACTCTCCTTAAGTTACGGCCCTTTCCCGACTCTGCGACTGCCCTTTTGCTATTGAGATGCATAAGAAAATAAAAGGAGGGATTATTGAAATCACATCATTCTGAATTTTCATTAAGTAATTAAATTAGCAAGAGAAAGAAGTTGCTAGAACTTCAATAAAATGTACACTTGTCAATCAGTCTGCCAGAGGTTGGGCCCCTTTTGTGTTCTACTTTAAAGGAAAATCACAATATATACAACCCGTTGATGCCTACCCTGGAGTAGCTAGTGGAAACTAACAGATCAATGTAGCCATTTATGTTGCTACTTTGTTCTGTCCAGTTTGTAGCCAATCAGTATTCTTTTTTTTAGTTTTTAACACGGTATTCGGTACTCACATTGGAATACAATTAAATTTGGATTCGCACCGAAAAGTTCCATATTGGGGGATAAAGTACTCCTTAATAAAGGCTACTTTATACCCAGAGTACTTACCGCTCTACTAGAACCTTGTTGGTTGCTATTTCTATCAGTATCACTAATGTTGTTTCACTTCTTGCTCTCTTTTTTGGGCATTTCCGAATTCTTAAAGTGGTTGGTGGAGAAAATGGCAAGGAAAAGGCCCTGCCTAAATGGACTCAGTGATGCGGACATTAATAGATAAAGATGAGAAAAGAAAAAGGAACTGTTTAAATGTTTGGTATACAACATCTAACCAAATTGCCTTTCTATAAGTGATAAACAAAATAAAATAAACAGAAAGGGTCAAATATATTCCTCTACTATCGAGAATTGTTTAAATTTATCATCCGTTATACAATCAATGCATTTGAACCCCTACCGTTATACTTTAGTTCAAAATTACCCTTAATTTTAACGGGAGAACATGTGGCAGCTCAAGAACAAAAAGCTCAATCCCCATTTTAAATACCCGATCCAATTAACCCACCCCTAATTTAACCCACTAGCCGATCCATATCCCCCGTTCTCTTCTTCTTCGTATCCCCTCCCTCTTCCTTTATTCCCAATCTATCTAACTATATTAAAAGCACGAAGGACCTTAGCGAAATGTCGTTCGCCTTTTTTACCCTTAAAAATAGATTTCACATTGGACAAAATTGTACTTTAAATTATTTTCTTACTATTTAGGAATCAAAAATTAAGTAAAATTTTGGTTATTAAATCTTTCTTACTATTTAGAACGTTAAAATCAATTTAAAAAATTCCTTTCATATCTCTATATCTATCTATACTATATTAAAAGCACGAAGGCCCTTAGCGAAATATCGTTCGCCTTTTTTACCCTTTAAAAATAAATTTTACTTTGGACAAAACTATAATTTAAGTTATTTTCCTAAAATTTTGGGCATTGATTATTTCCTACATTTAGGACTCAAGATGTTGCTTATATTCTTTCCTTATTTGAGTACAATTTAAGACTCTAAAAGACATCGGGCTAATTATTACTTGGGATTATTTGAAAATTTCACTTATTAATTTGGACGGTTGTAGCAAAGTTATTGGATTGCTAAATTGAGTTTTAGCTATTACTTAGAATTATTTTAAGTCTTATTTATTTATTTTCACGATACCTAAATTTTTTTGTTAGAAGACCTAATATTTAGGACTACTTCTTTTTCTTTCCCTACATAAACTGTACTCTTTCAAGCATCACAAAAGGGTAAAAATTGTACGGGGCGCCCTATTTGGTCGCCCCCATTTAACCTATATCCATTTTTTTTTTTAAACTTTTAACTTGTACCCACTTTTTAAATAACTTCAGCCCCCTTTCTCCTCCTCCTTCTCCTCCTTCGTTTTCTTCTTCAAGTTACAAAACAAACTAGTATTTATCTCCAGAAGCAACGCTGCTTTAGTTATAAGGTCAATTTTTTTTTAATTGAACAGTTCGGCAGTTGTACTTCTGCTCCAAATTTACAGCAAATTAGTCTTAGGAAAAAGTTTAAGTTACCAGTAGGATGAGCGGTAAAATTTTGGAGTTTTTGTATGTTTATTCGTGTTTGAGCTGAGAAGATGTACACTATTTTTCTTCAAAAATCACTGCTAATTGTGGTGCTTCAGCTCTAGAACTGAAGTTCGCCAGTTACAAAAACAAAAACTTCAGCTCTAGAGCTGAAGTTCCCCAGTTAATAAAACAAAAAGAGCTGAAGTTCCCCAGTTACAAAACAAAAACTTCAGCTCTAGAGCTGAAGTTCGCCAGTTATAAAAACAAAAACTTCAGCTCTAGAGCTGAAGTTCGCCAGTTATAAAAACAAAAACTTCAGCTCTAGAGCTGAAGTTCGCCAGTTACAAAACAACAACTTCAGCTCTAGAGCTGAACTTCAGGCCCGTCTACTAGAATGCTGAAGTTTTGCGTGATTGTCTTTGCTACTTTAGCCCCGTATGCTGAAGTTATGCGAAAAAGTGGGTATGCTTGCAATTTTTTTTGCAAAGCGGGCACAAGTTAAAACGTGACACAAAAAGCGGGTATAGATGCAAATGCCCCTGATATGTAAACACTGAAGTTTTCACAAATCTTAGATAGACTATTATTTAAAATTTTGAAGTTAATTGTGAATTTTCACTTTACGTTTCCAAGAACTTAACCCGATACAATCTGAAATTTTATTTATTGCAGAAAGAAGCTCGTTGTTAATTCATTGTGTTAAAAATAAACTCATCTCAAAACAAATAGAATTTTTTTTGATAATATGTAATTAGCGACAGATTTTTACTATTTAGCTACAAATTTGGTTTGTCACTATTTTTTTTATAGTTGACCTGTCTAGAATACGCAACTTCGTTTTGTACGACGTCCTGAGCTTTCAAAATTATGTAGATTGTTTTCATGCTTAGCAACATCATTCCCTACTTTGCTGTCTATTTTTAATTAATATTTGATAATTTAAAAAATTATTAAACTTTTATCATATAACTCAAATAAATTATTTAATATTCTCTTCGTTTCAATTCAAATGACACATTGCTGTTCCAAAAAGAATGACACATTTTTATATTTAGAAACAATTCAACTTTGAACTTTTCATTTTACCTACTTTACTCTTATTGAGAAACTTTTATAGCCACAAATATCATGGCCCCACAAAAGCTTTTGCCCTTAAACTTTTAGAACCATATGTTTCAAAAGTCTTCTTTTTTTTTTTTTCTTCTTTAAACTTTGTGTCAAGTCAAACTATATCATCTAAATTGAAAAGAGAGAGTAATATTTATAAATTTTTTAAATTTTACATTCATTGAATAAGGTGGCCCTAGCGAAATACCTTTTGCTTTTTTTTACCTTTAAAAGATGGATCTATGTGTTTATTTTAATGGAGAATAAAATAAGCCAATGTGTCCTCTTCTGTCTTTGTTCTTTCTCCAAATTTTTGTGTAGAGAAAATGTGATCTACTTTTTCTTGCGTCTTACACCTTCATGTAACAAATATATGTAGGAATAACCAGTATTCAACTTTAGGGTGTTTGGTTAAAGGTGTTTACCTCGAAAATACGAGTAACAATTAAATTTGATTTGTGATTTTAAAGATATGCGATTTAGTTCAATACCAATTAATAATCAAGAAATATGAAGTAGAAGTGACAAAGATAAGTGAATCAAACCAATATTACTTGACAGTAGTGACCTCGAGATGATAACCTCAAGACGGGCTAAGAGCAATAAAGTAAGACAAGTAAAGCAAGAGTAGTAGAGCTAAAGGACAATGCTGATGAACAGTAAGCAAAAAGTAGAGAGTATATTCTTTTCTCGGTGATTATCCCCTCTAAAAATGATTGGGTCTCCCTTTATATAATAGGGGAATCCTAAATATGGAATATTTCTATTTACAGTAAGAAATATTCCTGATGCAGCTGTCTAACCGCTTAGTACGGAATCGTACAATCATATTTCGGGATTTGCGCCAAGATCTTGGGGACGTGGCAGGAACAAGCTCATTCTGTTACAAACCCATAACGATACTATTTCGGGGTCGAGCACATTTCGCCTCGGTATTCCTCGAACTCCTATCTGGGCATTACACTCTGTCTTCGAGCTCGAGTCTGGTCCATCGGTTTCGAACTCGACCTCGACCGAACTCGAGCCTAGGGCGGAACCTCGAGCCTATAAATCGGAGGCATACGATTTCGATCATATACAAATAGTCCCCGCGTTTCTTAGAATAAGATGATGAGAAACGGTTTAAACCTCGATTTTCCCGAAGTCTTTAGTGATGACGTCATTCCCGTGATGTAGGCGCTCGAAGCGACTGAAACGTCCCGTCAGTTCACTTCCCCAAAACATTGAATGCATGCCAGTATTGGTCGGCCACTAGAGTCACCGAATCGTCGTGGATCTTATCAATATGAGGCTATTCCTTAGAGTAAAGAACTTTACTCTTTTATTATATCTTTCCCTTCTTCATCTCTTTCTCTACTTACCTGTTTCCACCGCCTCCTTTAAGTGCCGGAAAACGCCAGGCTTTTTTAAAAACACCACATTCCCAACACAATCTGTATCTTGTAGCTTGAAATCATGGCTAAAACTTCCAAAAAGGATAAAGCGTCGACTTCTTCTACCTCTCAGCCGGCCGAACCGGTGGTGCCTCCGACTTTTGGAGAAATCACCCCCGGCCCTTGCGTAATTAAGAAGGATCTCAATATAGAAAATCCCCCCGATGTCCCGGGCCGATGCGAGCATGTATCTAGATATATTAGTCTGATATCGGAGAAGAACCTCGAAGCGATGAAGAGGGACTGCGGCTGGGGCGACGAGGTCTTGGTTCAGATCCCGAGCCCCGAGGAAAGCATCACCACCCACGTGGAGGGGTTTTTTAGTGTTTATACTTATCCCTTCACACTGGGTCCCCTTGATCCAGTAGTGATCGACTTCTGCAAAATATACGAAGTCACCCTCGGCCAGATTCACCCCTCCTTTTGGCGCATTGTGATCATGCTGCGCTACTTTTCCGAGAAGGCCGAGGGGTTGGAGTTCACTCTCAACCACCTGATTCGATTGTATCGGCCCCAGCTATTTCGAGGGCTTATCAAGCTGCAACGTCGAACAACAAAAGCCCTTTTTGCCAGTAATGATAAAACCAAAGATCGAGGCTAGATGAGCCGGTTCGTCAGAGTAAGGACTTCGGACGTCATCCCCAGGGATAAAATGACGTTCACGGAGAGATGGAACTTTAATCGTAAGTTGAGTTCTTCTTCCCAGTATTTATTCATATTCAGCTTTCATATCTCACAATGCCTGCACCTTTTCTGTAGCTGCTGGGTAGGCATCTCACGCGGTCCTCGTCCTCGAGGATTGGGTCCGAAAATTAGCTGCTACCTCCTCCTATGATGAGCGCAAATGGTGTGAATTATTGAAGGGCAAGTGGGAGGCCAAACATCATGGTAGATTCTTTTCCTAAGTTTCTAGTATTTTTCATTTGCTTGTGGCGTCAACTTATTCGCATTCATACATGCAGGCATCGGAGATGTATCCGAAATGAGGTTGGCCTCGCCCGAGGAAGGGTTCAAGTCTTCGGTTCCGAAATTGGGGAAGGACAACAAAAGAAAGAGGGTTTCGAAGCCTGAAGATCCTCAAGACAAGAAAACACCTGCCCGTAGGCTACAGAAAAGATTTGCTCATGTGGACGCAGATTCGACCCACGATTCCCTAGATGATGAGGAGAATGATGGTGGAGAGTCGATGTTAGTGCTTCGAACCAGGAAACCCATCGAGACCACAAAGCCCTCCGGACAAGAGACCTCATCCCTTGGTGAGGGAACCCCAAAGAAGGATTTGGGCAAGGCCCCCGTGTCCCCGGAGATTGAGATCGTTCCTCCGCCTTCAACAGGTATACCCGAAGGTGAGAATGTGGAAACTCTCGAAGCCAATCAGAACGCCCTGAGTGAAGAGCTCGGGGCCATGACAACAGGTCACTCCCTTTCTCTACCATCTTATTCCGAGGAGGCAATCGAAGATGCTAACGCTCTGTGTATGCCCGATCCAAGCAAGGTCCTCGAGGAAGATCTCTTTCATGGTTTCTATGCTGGGATTGAAGATACCACCGACCTTAACGATGCTTCCACCATCTTTGAAGAGGCTCAACGTCTCCTTTCTCAGGTAAATATTAACTTTCATTGCTGTAATTTTTCTTTCTTTCCTTCCCTTTGACTAACATATCTTCACTTCATGTATAGACCATCGCCAAGTTTAGGGCCGAGCTGAGCCAATGTGAGGCCGAGCTTAAGAAAGTTTCGGGTGAAGAGAAGGCCCTGAGGCTCCTTTGTAACCAAAAGGAAGAAGAGCTTAGGGATCTCCGGGCTGAATTGGCCAAAGCCCAGAAAAAAGAGACCGAACTAGACGAGCAAGTAACTATGATATTAACAGGGTACGGTCTTCTTGGCTCTACTTCGGAGGCTAACACTTTGATATCTCAGCTGCAGCAAAATTTGGAGATGATTGGGCAGCTTCGGGGCGCGGTTGATCAAGTTAAAGTTGATTGTCATAGGTGGAAGAAGAACATGGATCAGCTCGCTGCCGATAAGGAAGTTGTTACAGTCCAACTGACCTCGGCCGAAACTCAACTCCGAGGTATTAAAGTGAAGGGTCTAGCCCAGGCCAAGAAAATCGAGGAGTTAGAGGCAGATTTTTCTGGAGCCCGGGCTGAAGCTGCACAATCTAAGGCTGAGGTGGAGAAGACGAATGTCACGGCTAAAAAGACCATTGCCGTGTACTTAAGAGATGTCGCAGCTGTTCAAGAGGAGCCGAGGGAGGCCTCCGACCGGGGAAGACGGATCAATGAATTGACCAAGTGGCAAGCCCGGAGGGAGACTCTCGAAGAAATACATGCCCGAGGGTTCGACCTCACTGGGGAGATAGCCGAAGCGAATGCGTAGGAGACTGATGCCAGGTTTCTCGTCTCTTCAGATGATGAAGATGCCATGAGTGGCTCTGAGGGCGGAGAAGGTGAGGAAGATGTTTCCGAGGAGGAGGAGGCTCTCGAAAATATGACCTCCGAGGATACAGTCCCCGAGGAAGCTGCTTCCGGGGACGTAACCCCGTAATAGATTAGGTTTTTTTTTTGTAAGGGCCCCTTGTGGGCGTTGTAAATGCACCATTTGTAAGACATCCTCTGTGAAATATAAAGAACCTTTGAGTTTCAATTTGTTCTCATTTGTGTAATATTTTGATGGTATAGTTCAAATGATCATTTTGAGTACTGGATTGGGCTCAGAACATAATAAACCCTTAGGTTTTTATTGATCAAAATAATACCCCTTTAAGGTTTTGTTAATCCTTAAACTAAATTTGATTTGATATGAGCTCGAGATTCAGGACTCTTGAGTCCTAGTGGGGTTGAGAGCAAGATCTCGAACTCTATGTATTTCGGCCCTTAGGCTTTTAGATCGGCCCTTAGGCTCTTTTAGATCGGGTCAACCCGGCCTCTAGGATGGCTATATAATTTTTTCCTCTTTTCGGCTAAATGACTTGGTGAAAATTTTAATTATGCCTTAGCATTTGTTTTTGTACCCATTGGGTTTTTCGGAGGTTCGCCGTATCGGGACCTTGTTTGTGTACTGATAATCGAATACTTTTTGAGGTTTTATCGAAGGCTGATGTTATCTAAGCCCTTAAATTATTCGAGGGCTAAATTTATCGAAGCCCATTATATTTTGCTTTTGCCGAGGGTAGCCTGATTTAACCGGTTTTAACAAAGTGTTTGAAGGACTTTGATTTATAGCGGAAGTCAGATGTCTCTAAGCCGCATCATTTAGGCCGCAGCCTTTTTACGTGACCGTAGTCTTTAATATGGCTGTAGCCTTTGGGTATGTCACTTGGACTTGTTTCCTGATAACTTTTCGAACTTGTTTGAAAAGTTAGTCCCCGAGTATATTGGCCTTGGCCTTTGTTTCGAGGGGATGCCTCTTTGAGGTCTTATGAGTCCAAGTTTTTTTGGTAACTCAGATGTATTGATTCTCGATGACAGTCCCGAGTATTCGAGGGTGCTTTTATGCTTTGGCTCTTGAGTCATTTCCCGTAGGATTATAAGTGTTGAGCTCGTATAATAGTAGACTTCTTTGAGACACAAAATGTTTTTGATATAAATAGGAAGCTTCTTCAAATAATTGATACATGCGTACATGTTGCCGTCGAGGCTCGATTATTCTATATGGACATGGTTCATCTGACCATTTGGCCCATTACAAAGATTTCCTATCGAGGCCCTCTCAGGCGTGAAGTATTTTCCTCGAAAATGTGGCCTCCGAGGGTGATGCCCCCCAGTATTCGTGGTTGATTGAAAAGAAGCCTTTGATACTGTTGAGTCCTCCTTAGGTAGCATATAATTGTTGCCTCATTAAAAACCTTGCCGGTAAAACCCATTTGGGACAAAATCCGATCTAAGGGAAAAAGAGTGCAACGTATGCTTTAAAACCTAAGGCCTTCGTGCGAAGAGGGCGTCTTCGATAGCTTCGATCGAAAATCTACAATGAGTTAGTTTTAAACTCAAATGGACAAAAGGGATAAAACCATACCTTAGCAGTAGTATCGTTTGAGTAATGATACGTTCCAATTGTTTGGCAGTTGTTCGCCTTCCATTGTGTTAAGTTTGTAAGATCCTTTGCCGCCCACTCCGAGGACTCGGAACGGTCCATTCCCCATTTCATGAAAGGCCACGGAGATAAGACCGAGTGGAGTTGTTCTCCGGGCTGATGGATCATCGCTGCAAATCACATTTTTTGACAAATTCCTTGGTATCTTTTTCCATGCTATCCCAGTAGTAACCTGCTCTGATAATTTTGCGAACCAAAGACTCGGCGCCGGAGCCACAAGTGCCTTCGTGGATTTCTCGAAGAACATAATCGGTATCTCCCCGCCCTAAACATACCGCTAATGGCCCATCGAACGTTCTTCTGTACAATGTTCCATCTTTATCTAATGCAAACCTAGCAGCTTTGGTTCGTAGGGCCCTTGATTCTTTATGATCCGATGGGAGTTTTCCATCCTTCAGGTAGTCGATATACTTATTCCTCCAGTCCCACGTTAAACTCATTGAGTTTATCTCGGCATGACACTCTTCAACCACAGACTTCGATAATTTGATGACAGTCCCCGGGACGATATCATCTTCTTCGACGGAGGATCCCAGGTTAGCAAGTGCATCAGCATCGCTATTTTGTTCTCGAGGCACATGATTCAGAGTCCCCTCCTTGAAGCGGTGCAAAGTTACCTGTCCAAGTATCGCTGCATTCTATCCTCTCGAACCTCAAAACTTTTATTTACTTGGTTTACCACCAATAGAGAATCGCACTTGTTCTCGACGACCTCCGCTCCCAAGCTTTTAGCTAGCTCGAGACCTGCAATCATGGCCTCATACTCGGCCTCATTGTTAGTCAGTCTAGAAGTTTTAATAGATTGTCTAATGGTATCAGCCGTGGGTGGCTTCAAGACAATGCCAAGCCCGGGCCCCTTCACATTCGAGGCACCGTCTGTGAAAAGGATCCATACCCCCATTGTTGTACCCGAACTTAGCAGGAGTTCTTTCTCCACTTCGGGTATGAGGGCCGGCGTGAAATCGGCCACGAAGTCAGCTAGGATCTGAGACTTGATGGTTGTTCAGGGTTGGTATTCGATATCATAACCGCTAAGCTCGATGGCCCATTTGGCCAATCGGCCCGGTAGCTCAGGCTTATGCAAAAATTTCAAAGAGGGTAAGTGGTTAATACACATATAGGATGACATTGAAAGTGTGGATTTAGCTTTCGAGATGCACTTATACATGCAAGTGCTAATTTTTCTAAGTGAGGGTACCTTATTTCAGCATCTCCTAGAGTTCGGCTCACGTAATAAACAGGAAATTACGTACCTTGATCTTCTCGAACTTGTACCCCACTTACCGCCATCTCTGACACCGCCAAATATAGGTAAAGCTTTTCGTCTACCTTCGGGGTATGAAGCAAAGGAGGACTCGATAGGTATCACTTAAGTTCCTCCAGGGCTCGTTGGCATTCCGGGGTCTATGCAAAATCCTTTTTTCTTTTTGAGCAAGGAAAAGAAATGGTGACTTCGATATGATGACCTCGAAATGAACCGACCCGAAGCAGCTATTTGACCCGTTAACCTTTGCACGACTTTCACACTATCCAAGACTTTGATACCTTCGATGGCCTTGATTTTATCGGGGTTAATCTCGATACCACAATTTGACACCATGAAGACGAGCAATTTACCCGAGCCGACTCTGAAGGTACACTTCTCTAGGTTAAGCTTCATGTTGTATTTCCTCAAGATTTTGAATGTTTCCTGCAAATGAGCTAAATGGTCCTCTGCGCGCAGGGACCTAACCAACATATCATCAATATAGACTTCCATTGTTTTACCTATCTGTTCTTCGAATATTTTGTTAACTAAGCGTTGGTATGTAGCTCCAGCATTTTTAAGCTCGAAGGGCATGACGTTGTAACAATAAGTTCCAAAGTTAGTTATAAATGAAGTCTTTTCCTGGTCCTCCAGGTTCATCTGAATTTGATTGTACCCGGAGTAGGCATCAAGAAAAGTTAGGGTCTCGTGGCCAGCCGTGGCATCGATCATTCGATCGACGTTTGGCAATGGAAAAGAATCTTTCGGACATGCTTTGTTCAAGTCCTTATAGTCTACACACATTCTAAGCTTGTTTCCTTTTTTAGGATTTGCAACTACGTTGGCTAGCCACTCGGGGTACTTTACCTGTCGAATGGATCCTATTTTAAGAAGTTTGGTCACCTCGTCTTTTATGAAGGCATGTTTTACCTCGGACTGAGGCCTCCTCTTTTGCTTCATCGGTTTGAATCTGGAATCAATGCTTAGTCGATGCGTGGTGATTTTCGGTGGAATCCCTGTCATATCTAAATGGGACCAAGCAAAGCAATCCATATTATCAATAAGAAATTGAATGAGTTTTTTCCTGAGTTTGGGGGTTAATCCCGTTCCCAGGTATACCTTTCTCTCGGGCAGATATTCGATAAGTATGACCTGCTCTAGTTCCTCGATGGTTGACTTGGTTGCATCGGATTCTTTGGGAATGATAAAGGTTCGAGGAGTAAGGAAGTCCTCTTCGTCTTCGATTACCTATCGTTTCGACTCCGTCGAGGCTGGGGGCTGTGATTGATATTTAGCCACTTTCTTACCTTTGGTGCTCAATTTCTTCGAGGTTAAGGGCTCTTAAATCAGCACCACTTCCTCGATTGCAAACATCTCTTTCGCAGCATGTTGCTCTCCGTAGACTATTTTCACTCCTTGCTCTGTTGGGAATTTCATCACCTGGTGAAGAGTCGAAGGCACTGCCCTCATGTTGTGTATCCATGGTCTCCCGAGGAGTGCGTTATATCTCATGTTCCCTTCGATGACATGGAATTTGGTGTCCTGTATGGTCCCGGCTACGTTTAGTGTCAAGATAATTTCTCCCTTTGTTGTTTCGCTTAACATGTTAATTTATACCCGGGATGCAGGTACAATCTGATCTTGTAGGCCGAGTTGCTCTACGAACCTTGATCTGATTATGTTCGCTGAGCTACCTGGATCCACCAAAACAAGTTTAATTTGAATTTTATTTAAAAGGATAGAGATTACTAGTGCGTCGCTGAGATATGCCTTCTGCTTCCTCGTCACAGAATGATAAGACGTCCTCGGGCACGTAGCTCCGAGTCCGTTTTTCTCTGGTGATTGATACTTTGGTGCGTTTGAATACAGGTTATTGAGGGACATCGACTCCGCCAATGATCATGTGGATCACATGTTGTGGTTCTTCCTGCTAATTTTTCCTTGCATCCCTTTCCCTGAAGTGATTCTTAGCTCGATCACTTAGAAATTCTCGAAGGTGACCCTCGTTGAACAACCAAGCCACCTCCTCTCTTAGCTG